AACCAAGTACTGTGGTTCCTCTTTCTCACTGTTTTCTCCCCAGACCTCATGAAAGGTTTTATCACCAAACATTTTTAGAATTTTTATTATAATAAATATCTTCACCCAGTTATTCCAAAAGTGACATTTAAATTAGCTTGTAAGGTTCGTTGTTAGTATATGTAAAATTTCCACTACATATTGTGCAACCTTAGGTGAACCACCAGAGTAACTGAGGGGCGATGTAACTGAAATAGGTTCATTGTGGTATTGTGCTGGACTACTGTGCAAAAGCATACACTCCGCGGTTCCAGTGCACGCACTCCTTATTTCTCAAATCATTCCTAGACTGCTTCGGGGAATCATATTCATGAAAGGAAGGCCAAGTGGCAGGAGATCCCGGATGGCCATGCTCCTTCTAGTAATGGCAGCATTAGGTTATGTGGGCCATACTGATGCCAAAGCATAAATTCTTCATATTTTTCTCCTTTTCCTTTTCACTGAAAATCTAACTCAAAAGAAATAACATTTCACTTTGACTTAAAAGGAAGCTTTCATGTTTCCCTCCCTGACTCAGAAAACTAAGTAGTAATATTGTAAAGTAGGAAAACTACTTAAATCTCAGCTTCCCTGAAGAGTTTATATTTGGCATACTAAGGATATTTCCAACACCATTCCTTAAATTCCTCTAAAGACCTCTCCCACTTACAGCAGCACTTGCCTAAGGCTTCAATAAGGCCTTTTTCTTCATAAGCTTCAGTATTCTAAGTTACTTGGAAATTGTGATGGAAAAAAAAGTGGGTGCAAAAATGGTTTGTCTTTAAAATCTCATGTATTCTACTCCATCTTCAAGACATACAACATATACATTATTAAAATCCATTTATAATTATACAAATACTCTGAGATATTCATACAATTTTTCCTTCCATATGTTTCTGTAATCTTTTTTTTTTTTTTTTGAGACAAGGTCTTGCTATTTAGTGCAGGCTGGCCTTGAACTCACTATGTAGCCCAGGCTGCCTTGATCTTGATGCGATTCTCCTGCCTCAGCCTCCTGAGGCTGGGATTGTTGGCATGAGCCACCACAGATGGATTTGTAATCACATTAATATCATCTTCTCATACACTTAACTAGAAAGATATAAGAAGGTCTAGAAATGTAGCTCTGGGTAGAGCACTTGCCTGGCATGTATAAGGCCCTGAGTTTGATCTGTACCACTGAAGAAAAAGAAAAGAAAGAGGGCCAGGGATTTAGCTCAGTGGTACCATGCCTGCCTTGTAAGCTCAAGGTCCTGAATTTGATCTTCAGTACCAAAAAAAAAAAAAAAGAAAGAAGAAAGTAGTAATGAGTCAGAGCTATGTGCCTGTACTCTATTAGTTGAACCATGAATCTGAAAGAACTAAGACTTAATGGCAGTTCTACTATTTGTTAACTGTGTAATAATTTAATATTGGACATTCAAATCAATTACCCTCCACCTTAATGTTAATTTTAAATTGGAGATGATAGTAACTACCTCACACACATAATAGCTGTAGAAAAACTTAGGAACCATATTTGGCACTTAGAGTTAGTTGCCTATAGCCAGTGGCAATAAAACAGAACTGGGAACCAGAACTGTTGCAGGGAAGAGAAGTTGGCAAAAATCCCTGGCAAAGAGCTAAAGAATTAAATTAGTATTCTCTCGAGAATCTTCAGCCTTGGGGCTACATCCATGTCAGGGAAGACACTGAGAGGTATTTAAGAGAAGCCCTGGAGCATACTGGTCCTAATACAAAACTAAAGGTTGCAGATGAGATCAGATTTGTCTCAGGAATGTAACACTTGACTCAAATTGGCTCTTAGAAACACTGACAGAATCGATGAATGGGTAGATGTATCAGAGAAAGCAAGGAGGGTGGTAATGAAATAAGGTTATAGAGGCTATATAAGGTAATACCTAATCACTTACGTGTTAGAGATGGAATGCCTAGGTTCAAATTTTGACTCTACCACTTTTTAGTTTGAACTCAGGCAACTGAAATAACTTCTCTGTGTCTAAATTTCATCCTGTGTAAATATGGGTAATATTACCTTATAAGATTGTTGGAAGAGCTGGGCGTGGTGGTGCCACCTGTAATCTCAGTACTCAGGAGACTGAGGCAAGAGGATTGCTGCACGTTCAAGGCCAGCCTGGGCTACATAGTGAGTTCAAGGCCAACCTAAACTACATAGCAAGACCCTGTCTCAAAAAGAAACAAACAAACATTGTTGGAAGACATAAAAAGTTAATATACACATATATATATATACACACACATAAATATATATGTATATGTATATATCATATATATCTCACGAGTGATTTCTTGGCACATAATTAGCATCACTTTCCTAATCTATAAAATGGAGTCAACAAAACTTATTATTTCACAAGTTGTTAAGCATATTAAATAAATGATACCTATAAAGTGCTTAACACATAATAAATTAATAAATATTAAATATTTTTATTATAGATAGGTGGCTACCGAAAAGAATTTTTAAACCTGAGAGAAATATTTTATAGTGAAATATAACAGAAAATATTGTGAAAATCCTTACTCCTATTTTGGAGTTGAACATATTTACTAGGAAACTATGAGTAACTTGGCATACTTATCCACCTTCCAATGTGTAAAATGCATCTGAATAATTCTATCTCTTACAACTGTCAAAGGATTTAAGTCACAGATACAATTACAGACAAAAAAAAGAGAAAAAAGAAACCACAACTAAAAGAGCAATATTCCTCTTGATACCATTTCTAAAGAAAATATTAAATCAAGTACCACATAGATTTGAAAATTTTAAAAAGCTACTTAACAATTTTACTTAAAAGAAAACAAGCCTTTTATAATTTTTAAAAATGGACGCTCATAAAGAAACTTGCTGCAGTGTGCTTTCTAAAGACCAGCATAAATGTGGCGGTAAGATTTAAAGTTCAACAAATTGGAACCCAAATCAATATCACTTCTATTTAATCCATAAGAAAACTAAGAGTGTACAGAGGTCAAGGAAACCAAGAAAATTCTGAGAAGGCTGAACTCAATAGTGTCAACCAGTGAGAGGCTAAGACAGTAACTGGAAAGTGTCCAGGAGGATCAGCAACAAGGGCAGACTTGGTGGGTCTATGCACAATCACTATATGATGAGTTTGAGGTTGCAGAAAATACTAGATAGATCACAGTACAACATAGAAATGATTTTTTTAAGAAAAGCGCAAAAGACAAAGATGAGTCCTAATTGTGAGTTAGAATAAGTTTCCCCTACTTGAAGATATTCAAAGTGAGAATTTTTTTTCAAGCTATAATTTTTATTATAATATCAATAAATATAGTACAGTACATGGAAGGTTTATTCTGCAAGGCCATTACTGGGTCATCCTTGACCCAGAAAGAACAGGATAACCTAAGTCTTTCCATATAAAAGGTGTTAAAGTACAAACATTTACAATGATGAATATGAAGACTTAAATGGAATGATGTTTTCATTGGCTTTTATTAGAATACTTCTAAGAGATACTTGGCTAACAACAAAAGGAAGACTTAAGATCTTTTTGGAGATGTGATATGCATACCAGTCTCCATTCCAGAAGGATTACACAGACTAGAGTTTAAGAAACCACCTGCAAATCCTCCTGATCAGTTCAGAATGACCATAAATACCATTCACCCACCTATCTAGACAGTACTGTCTAGAAAAATAATGTGAGCCCCATGTGCCACTTAAAATTTTCTAGTATACACATTAAGAACTAAAAAGAAATAGATAAAATTAATCTGAATCTTGTCCACCTAACCCAGCACCCAAAGTATGTATTATCAGCACAATCAATATAGAAATTTATTTTTGAAATGTTTTCCTTCTTTCATACTAAATCTTTGAAATCTGATGTGTCTTTTATATTTGCCACACATTTCAATTTGAAGTTAGTTGTCAACAGCCATATGTAGCTAGTGGCTACTGTTTCAGACAGCACAGATCTAGAATCCAAGTTTCCTGGAATCAGAAATATGGGTTATCTTATTCACAAATGTAACAATGGTATTAAAAACAGTATGTGGCACATACTTAGCTCTCAACAAATATTTGTTGAATGAATGAATGAACAAACAAAACTATTGGTTTTATACAAATATTTGCAAAATCAAAACTCCTGCTACGTAAAATTCTAAATACATTATTAAAACTATTAAGAGAAGCATACAAGGGCCGGGGATTTAGCTCAGTGGTTCTGGCACCTGCCTCGCAAGCGGAAGGACCAAGTTCGATCCCCAGTACCAAAAAATAAACAAAAATTTAAAAAAGAGAGAAGCATACAATTATAGTAAACACAATTGTAGCCTAGCTGATAGTTTAGTGACATATAGTTAATCAATACGCATTCATAAGTTGTGCATAATTTCAGATACATTATAAATACATTTTACCATCAAGGGAATTTTCTTCCATAATCATTTTTAAATGATATTAAACATTTAGTAGATAAAAATGCTATTAAATTCTTTAAAATAAAATGAAAAAAACCTTTTCTCTCTGTAACAAATGAACTCCACATTCACCAAATACACACAATTTTCACATATCATACTAGCATTTGCAAATAAATGTTTTTCACCCTACTGTTTAATCCACCCTAACACTGGTGAAAGAATGTACCAAATATAACTTCAAATACTTGGCAAAAAGTTGAATTATACAATTATTTAATTTTCTGGTGGTACTGAACCCAGGGTATTTGCACTGAGCTCCACACACAAGTGCATAAATTTTTAAAATTTTTGAGACAGGGTCTCGGGCTGGGCTCAAAGTTGCAATCCTCCTGCCTCTGCCTCTTGGAGTGCTGAAATTATAGGCATATGCCACTACACCTGGCAAATTACAGTACTGTTTTAAAGATGCTTGAACCCCCCAAACACTGAGGTTTTTTAAATATACATGACTCAGACCCCAAGTAGCTGATACTTAATAGCAAAGGACAGGGATAAAAGCTTACCTTCTCTGCTAAGAGCTCTCTTATCTTGCTCGCTTGAACTCTAAATTTCATGAGCTGAGATTCCAGAGCTACACATCGTTCCTTCCAATCTACCAGTCCTTCTGGCTCTGAAAGCTCGGCCATGTTTATTCTAAAAAGAAAGCATTCAACAGCACACCACATTAGCATTCAAGAAGTCCATTAATTTGCCCAATGCATACACTATAGTCATCATCCAATGACATTGAGAAACAAGTTTTAAATTCTAAGACAAATTCCAGCCCTTGTTATAGTTTAAGAGCCTATCGGGAGACAGGAGACCAGAGTGAAAGTCCTTCTGCGCTATTACTTAAACTTTCTAGGTCTTAGTTTACCCAATCCAGAAAAAGAGGGATGCTGAGCATCACAAACCATTCTTCCTCATAGGTATGCTATGAGAACAAATGAAATATTGCTGTTTCTAACAAAACTTAGACAATACAATAGCACAGTACAAAATACAATTATTATTTTAACACTGCTCAACAGTAAGATTTTTTAAATCTATCAACTCATAATTTTACCATACATTTAACTTACAGAAGGCTCACAGCTTGGTTCAAAGAACAGCATGATAAACTAAAGAAATATAAGAGTGCTACAACTGTGGTTTAGATTTGTACTATAATTTAGTAGTAATTTTTATTTAGCTCAGGCTCAGGCTAAGTCTTTCAAGCTAGAAATTCATTGGTGAATTAACTAGGTAAGTTATTATGATCCTGACAGGTTTGCATAACTTTTATTGGTATAAGAGAAAACATATAAATATGAAATTTGGAATTGTCTACTTAAGTAAATCTGGAGTCAGTATTTTCCATGATACTAATTTTCCTTTTGAAGGAGGTTAATCTCATGGAGAAGTACTGTAAGGAAAAAGACAGACCAGGGAATTGGTTTTGAAATTTTAAAATGTTCTTTGATTTTGGAAGCATGATTGTTTCTGGCTCTGTGATTCATGAAAGAAGTTTTAAATGTTTGTTAATGTCTAATTGGCTAATTTAATACATAGCCTAGTAATGTATTTCTTTCTCTTTTTTGCTCTTCACAATTACAAAAAAAATTTTAGCATATGGTTGCAAAACATAAATCACCCCGTGGAACTGTAACATACTGTACACACATTGCATCTTGAACCTTTTTACTTCTCCTTCCCCTCTTCTCCCTTCCATTTCCCCTTTCTGAATTGCCCTTGCTATGAACTGATAGAATGGATCTTCTGCATGAGCCAAGTCCCAGTCACAGAGAACTTGTGACAGTAAAATTCTCAGAACTGTGGATAGTACTGCAGTTGAAGTGTACTATTCTATTATTTTGTTTTATAAAAACATAGCTAAGTATACTTTCCCAGTATTTAGTGTAACTACCCAACTCCCTAAACCTATACCAATTTTTAAAAACCACATACTGCTAAAAACTCAGTAAAAAGATTATTTTTCTAGCATAACCATTATTGTGCTTATGTCAGTTTTCACATTAATACGGAACTGACATAGTCTCACAATAATTTAGAAATAAATAAATAAGCTGAATTGTCCCACAAAGGCTACAATTTTTATTAAGAGTACCCCAACCATATTAAAGCTTCCAGATGTCCACAACTTCTAGCCATAGTTTGAGGGAAACTTAAAATTGTAGGACTTAAATTCACTCTGTCCTTGTTTCTTTGTTTTTACAAAATCTTTACCCTACTGTTCTCTGAGTATTTTCTTTCTGTTCCTGGTTATTAGCCTTTCTTATGGCCCCTTTCATTTCCCATATTAGCATTTACTATTAATTATTCACATCAGCATTTACTATCAATAATTTAAGAATAGATAAAGCAGTTTGTCAATATAAACTTTTTCACCATTCTACTGCTACTTCATTTCTCTCATTATTTGCTTTAGAGAAAAGGAAAAATATGGATGAAATATTAAAAAATAAAAATCCATCATCAAACAGATATCCTTAATTATTAGTCGTTCATATAACTGCACAGAAGTGTAAGGACACGCGTGAATCCTCAGCAACAAGAAGTCTATTTCATGTTGATTAAATTTTAAATAGCTCATTTATATTCTAGTGTAAAATGTCTAAGGGGTTTTTTTTTTCCTTCATTTTGTTTGCAGTGCTGGGGACCAAATCCAAGACCTGGCACATGCTAAACAAGTGCTCTACCTCTCAGCTACAGTTTTTAAAATAATATAAAGAGTACATATTTTTCAACAAATGAAAATAAATTCTGGTAATGCACCATATTAATAGAAAAAACAAAAGCCACTGATCATTTCAACCACACACACACACAAATTTGACAAAACCCTATACTCCTACATAATAAGAACAACTGGACATATTAGTAATGTCAAGGAATTTTCTCAACCCCATAAAGGCCATCTACAAAATGCCCAACAGGTAACATCATAATTACTGGTAAATGACTGACACTTTTCCACTAAAAAAGCATCCAGATTGGATAGGAAGTAAAAACTATTTCTATTTGCAGATGAAATGATCATGTATATAGAAAATTCTAAGGAAACCACAAAAGGACATCAGATCTATTGAGTTTAGCAAGCTTTTGGGAAACCAGATCAATATACAAAAATCGATTGTTCTATATACTAACAAGGAAAGCCCCAAAACTAAAATAGTCCATTTACAATAGCATCAACATGAATAAAACATTTAGGAATAAATTTAACAAAACAAGTGCAAAACTTGTACCCTGAAAACTCCTAAACTGAATTGAAAGACATTAAAGATCTAAATAAATGGAAGAAATTGCATACATATGGATTGGAAGACGATATTTGCAAATGGATAAACATACTCAACTCAATCACTACAAATATTCTCACAGAATTTTCTGCAGAAATTGACAAGTTCACCCTACAATTCACCTGCAAATTCAAGGGACCCAGAATCGCCAAAACAATCCTGAAAAGTTTGAGGACTCACATGTTCAAATTTTTAAACTTACTACAAGGCTACAGTACTCAAACATAAGGATATTTGCATAAGAACAGGCACATAGATTAACAGAGGAAAGTTGAGTCTAGAAATAAAACCTCATATTTTCAGCCGATTGATTTTTGGCAAGGATACCAAGACAACTAATGGGGGAAAGAACTGTATTTTCAACAAATGATGCAGGGACAACTGGATACCCAATTGCAAGTGAAAGTATTTTGGACCCTACCTCATACCATATCCACAAATTAACACACAATGGAACACAGATCTACCGGTAAGTGCAAGGGTCAAATCTCTAAAATTCTTAAAACAGGTATGAATCTTATGACTTGGAATTAGGCAAGTTTCTTAGATATGACAGAAAGCCCAAGTAATCAATGAAGAAATAGATAAATTAGACCTCATCAAATTTAAGAATTTTGAGCCTCAAAAGACACTATCAAGCCAGGTGTTGGGGCACATGCCAAGTAATTCCAGAACTCGGGAGGCAGAGGCAGGACAATAGCCACGAGTTTGAGGCCAGCCTGGGCTACCTAGTGAGTTGAAGGCCAGCTTGAACTACATAGTGAGATGCTGTCAAAAAATTTTTTAAAGACACTATCAAGAAAGTGTAAAAATAACCTAAAAAATGTAGGGAAATATTTACAAATCATATACCTGATAAGGGACTTGTGTCCAGCATATGTAAAGAACTCATAAAATTCAATCAATAAAAAAGGCAATCCAATTAATAAGTGGGCAAGTAGACACCTCTCCAAAGAAGACAAATAACCAATAATCACATAAAAAACGTTCAACATCATTATCTATACAGGAAAGTGAAACATCAAAATCATAATGACATTCTACCCTCATATCAAAGAGGATGAATATAATAAAATGAAAAAGAATAAATACTAACAAGTGTTGGTAAGAATGAGGATAAATTGGAACTCTGATACATTGCTGGTGGCATTGTAAAAATGTTGGAGCTGCTATATGATCAGTTTAACAGTTCCTCAAAAGTTTAAACGCAAAGTTACTGTAGGCCCCAGAAAATCCAATGCTAAGTATACATCCAAGGGAATTGAATACATGGGCCACACCAAAACTTGTATATACATGTTCATAGCACCATTATCCACAATACTCAAAAAGAGGACATAATTCAAGTGTCTACCACCAAATGAGTGGGTAAACAATGGGTAACAATATGATATATCCATATAACAGAACATTATTCAGCCATAAAAAATAAAGTACTACTACATGCTACAATAATACATGAACCTTGAAAACATTATTCCAAGCCAAAGAAGCAAGATATAAAAGGGCACATAACATATGATTCCCCTTATATAGAATGTCCAGAATACACAAATCCAAAAAGATAGAAAACAGGTAAGTTGTTTCCAGGGGCTTTGCGCAGAGAGCAAAGTGAGGAATAATGGCACATGTTTGTAATCCCACCACTCTGGGAGGCTGAGGCAGGAGGATTACAAGTTTGAGCCCAGCTCGGGCAATTTAGCAAGACCTTGTGTCACAATTTTTTAAAAAAAAATTTTAAGGGCAAAAAGGGCTGGGGATATAGCTCGGTGCAACAGCTCTAGATTCTATCCCCACTATTACAAAAAAAGGGGAAGGCAGAAAGGCAATGGGGACTGACTATATCAATGGACATGTGGTTTCTTTAAGGGATGATGAAAATATTCTGGAATTAGATAGTGGTGATGGTTGAGGATATGCTACAAATTATTGAATCATACACTTTAAGAGTAACTGCAAATATACTAAAAATCATGGAACTACACACATTAAAAGGGTAAATTTTAAGGTTTGTGAATTATATCCCAATAAAAACAGCATATTTTTGCAAATGAATAAAGAAAAAGTAGCAGTTTAAATGGATATATACTAATATACTAGAACTACATTTACAGATTTAATATGATCATTATGAGTGGTTATCTCTGCCAAAAATTTCACCATTAACTTAGATAATATGACCAAATAACCTCAAATATGAGAAATATAATACATATTATCTTACCTAGAGGTACTTTGCTATGAAAATGACACAATAAATTCAAAGTTAGACACACCTATTTATTTCTTTAGTTATGATAATTGTGTATTTTATAATGAACTAGTAAAGCCTTAAGAATGTTATGAAATCAA